GTCAGTAAGTCATTACAAACATTTTAATACAAGCTAAATATTTAACCTCTTTGAGGGGACAGGACAGAAACACCTGTCATATATCAAAAGTCACGATAAATGTGGCATTGCATATCAATTGGAAAAGAGCAGACTATTCCGGAAATGGTGTGGCAAATGGTTAACTCCATCAAAAAAGAATAGATAAAGCCTATCATAGGAGAAGTCAAAAGGGAGAGAGAGAAGGAGGGACTTTGCAGTGGTTGTCAGTGTTACGACACCCAGCTTGGCTAAGATAAAACAAAACTCTCAATCATAGCAACGGTACCATAAGTTGGCAGTGCCTTTTCAGGGGTTAATTTTGCAACATTAAGAGTCTCAGCACTTATAACCTTTGACTTAGCAATATCACCTCCAAGAATCTAGCTTACTAAACCAATCAGGCTGGGTGCCCTGGCTTACTGTAACCCTAGCACTCCAGGTGGCTGAGGCAGGAGAATCGCTTGAGGTCAGGAGTTCGAGATCAGACTGAGCAAGAGTGAGACCCCCATCTCTACTATAAATAGAAAAATTAGCTGGGCATGCTGGCACACACCTGTAGTCCCAACTACTTGGAAGGCTGAGGGAAGAGGATAGCTTTAGCCCAGGAGTTTGAAGTTCCGGTGAGCTATAATGACAGCACTGCACTCTAACCAGGGCGACAGGGAGAGACTTTGTCTCAAAAAAAAAAAAAAAAACTAAAGATCTGATAAATTCAGATCAATAATTCCGTATTTACAATTCCATAATCCAAAAAAGACTGAAAACTCCTCTGGCAACAAACCTGTCTGGAACGGATGTGATGATGTATACAGTTTCTATTTAAATCATTCAGGTAATCAGCCTGGCCTTCAAAGCCATTCATAATTTGGCCTCAGCCTACTTTCATGAGTTTATTTAACCAACGTAGCCACCTACAGGTGCTGTCAACCTGCAACACAAAACCGCTGGCTATTCCCCAAACCTGACATACATGCCTCACAGCAGTGCCTTTGCTGAAGTTGTTCCTATATCCTGATGTGTAGTCCTCCCACACTTAAGGCCTAGCACAGGCCCCATGCTCTCTCCAGAAAGCTTCAGAGATGCCTTTCTCAATCACAACTAATTTATCACCCCCCACCCAAGATTCCCAAGCACATTTTTATACTGTTGAGGTGTATACTTCATACAATCTGAAGTTCGGCTGTGCATCTCTTTTCCGTATTTAGCCAAGGTTTCTTAGAGAACAGAAGCTAAATATTTTATTGTTCCTCCAATTTCTAATCGTAATGCTTTACACTGAGTAGCAGCTTTAGGTGACAACTTTGTACCCTAATGATGTTAAACTGAGGGATAAGTATAACCATACAGGATTAATATACAGAAATAAAATTTAAAATTCCATCACTCAACAAAAGTGTCCATTTGTGTGCTAGCAGGCAGGAGGAAAGGGAGGGGCCCAAACCCAAAAACCTGGCATAGTAACTACTGCAACAAAGGAGGTGGCAGGGTAAGAACTAGGAAAATACAAGTCTCTTCAGTACCAGAAGAATCTTCCAAGCTTGTTGGTAACATAAGTTTCTCATTTTCTAATAAGCTAATGTGGCTTAAGTCACTGTTTGGAATCTCGTCTTCAAAATGTTTTCCACCATCAAGTACAACAATCTATAAGAAATAAAATGGTAAGAGAAGCATACTCACAGCTTTGAAGAGCACAGTACATGGCTACAAAAAGGACTGAGTATTTTCTCAACCTCTCAGTATCTGTAAATCACATTCAGGCAATGAAGGGCTAGTTGTGTTCTACATGTATTAACAACTCTCCTCCCTGCCCCCATGCCACCTCCCTCCCCTGACCAACCTAATAAGACATCTTTAAAAATTTAAGGCTTCTCTCAAATTGTTTGCACATACTTGGAGAACCCAGTAGTAGAGTACTAATATTCGCACAGCTGAACTTGAGCAACACAAGGCTTATCACAGAAAGTGAAGACAACAGCAAAGTTGGACCCAGCAACCTTTACCTAAGTAACTTTTCATTACCATTACGTTGGAACAATCAATTTCTCTGCTCAACCCAGGCACCATGTCACTCTAAAGGGCACACAGCAGTTTACAAGGACACTGGAGGCCCAGAATGAAAATGCAACATTTCCCTCTATGTGCTTATTTCATAGTAATTTAAACATATATTAAAACAACACCAGCTTAAGAATTAGACTGCAAAACGCACGCTAATTTTAAAGATAAAAACATGGCCCCTCAATGCAATTTTACACTTACAGAGGACAGGGTTGAGCTATTCCTACAAATATCTAAGGCACCAAGGGCTACTGTGATTTATTGTTATTTAAAAAGACGCTCCCCTAGAATATGGCAAATGTTAACATTTACGCAATACAAACTGTGTTCTGCAATTTTTCATAATAAAAAATTATGAAAAAATCTGTATGGGAAGAACAATGTGTAAAATGTCTCTGCCTTTCGTGTCAGGTCTGCCACTGAGAATCCCATGTGCTCTGCCATGCCCCTTACACATAGGCCCGCGGAACTGAAGAGACCCTAGAAAACGTCTCTGCTCTGATAAAGCGGCATAGCTTTTACAGTTCAACAGTGAGAGTCACAAAAACACATTTCCTTCACTGATGTGGCTGCCAGGAGAGGCAAAGCTAAAAGAAAAGTCAAATGCAGGAGTAGCTCTCTCCAGTCTCTGTTTTCTAACATATTTATTTTCTGCTGCTCTCACTTCTTCCCCTTTTCAATCAAGCATCTCACGTTTCTACATTTGTTTTGTTGCTTTCCAGTTTCTGGACTGTCCCTTTCTTTTATTATTAAATAGCTCTTGACTTTTTGTAAGTCAATTCTTCACCTATACTAAGAAAATCAATTATTTTCTATAGGGAAAATTCATGTTCCATCTCTTTAGAAATAATTTTTTCTAAATGTTCTGAAAATATATGAGTGAAGTGTAATTTGTTGTATAGCAAGAATTAAATTCAATGGTTAAGAAATCATGCTTTCTGACTTAATTTCAACTTCACTACACCTAAACTTCTCTAAAAAGCATTTCTCACCCTTGAAACTTACACATGGGGTAAGTGTACAGATCATTTTCTGTAAAGGACCAGACAGTAAATATTTCAGGCTTTCTGAGCCATACAATCTCTGTCACTTCTCAACTCTGCTACTGTAGCCTGAAATCAGCCATAAACAAAACATAAACAACTGGGCATGGCTGTGTTCTAGTAAAACTATGAAAACAGGCAGCAGAGTAGATTCGGACCAGAAGCTGTGGTTTGCCAATCCCTGGCACAGGGAATAACTTTCACTTTAGATCCTTCTGCAATTATTTTATAGAAATGATCTTAAAAATTCTTATAAAGTGGCCGGGCACGGTGGCTCACGCCTGTAATCCCAGGTCTCTGGGAGACCGAGGCGGGTGGATCGCTCAAGGTCAGGAGTTCAAGACCAGCCTGAGCAAGAGCGAGACCCCATCTCTACTAAAAATAGAAA